ATCGACTCGCCTAGTGATGCTGATCAAGAATATATATACTTTATAGGGTCGGAGATGTCTCCTTCACTGCGTTGCAAACTTCTGACTGAAATTATAATACCCTCTGCAAGGGTATAAAAATTGAGGAGGCAATATTAAACTGGTTTTGTTATGTTTTTCTCTCTGTGAAGACATAGTTTTGGATTACTACTTTAGAATAACATTTTCAATTTTTAAAAATCCGACAAAATGGATTTATACAACTATCAAAGTCAAAACACATAGATATATATTCAAAACAAAATATTTAAAGAAAATATATATTTTTTAATTAAAAAAACCGTTTGAAAATATTTGTATTTCAATACAAAATTGCAGACGAACGCGCGGATTTGTGCTTATTTTCTCAAATTGGATTAAAACTCTACAGAATTTTAAACAGTTTGGTTTTTTCTTGAAACACTAAATCAATATGAACATTTTTTAAAACCTTAACTTATTTTTGGTAACTAAAAAATAAAATACATGAAAACAAAAGTTTTTCTATGCCTTAAAGGCATGTTTTTAGATTTATATAAATATGAATATTATTTTTGTAATAGCTTCAAGGGTATATAAGCTTCGGCTTGCATAATTTCCCTAGTTTGAAAATATATAATTTTAATATTATTTAAAAATATCCTTTTCAGTCTCTGAATGCAATCTAGTGTTACATTATTAAAAGTAAATAACACCGTCTTCAGGACCTCCTGTCTTACTATATTATTTGTTTTTCTGTTATTCATTTATATAATTTCTTTTACTATATATTTATTTTAAGCGTGTTAAGTTTCAAAATGTATATTATTTCACATAATGTAATGTATTAGCTCATTTTTGCAATTTTTAATGATCCTGATAACTTTAAGTGTATAGAAAAAGTCAATACAATAAAAAGTTGTTCAAACAAAAAAGTCAATTAAATGCCAAACTTTGAGGTTTCTGAATAAAACTGGAATTATACAACCAAATTGTTGTTTGTTGATTTTGACACTGATATTGTTTATTTTATTTTTTTGTTTTAAATTTAAACTTACTACTTTAACATTTTTAAATTAAGTTTACAATTTACACATCAGAAGAAAATGAAAATATTAGGTAGAAAAAAGTATACACAGAGCAGAAAATAAATAAAGTGACTATCTAAAAGTGGTATTCCACTGGAACGTAAATGCTTAAAAACAAGACCTTGGATTTAGCATATATGCGTACTTTTATTTAATTTGTACCAATATTTGTATTTTAACGTTTTATCGTTCAAATTAGATAATTTCAAAAACAGTTCTAAAATATACAAACCAATCTAGTATGCTTTAAAATTGCAAAAAAATATGTGAAATTATTGCCTAAATATCCAAAATAAATGCAAAATATATGCATATAAATTTTATTGACAATTTCATATCACTCGTTAATTATTAAAGTGTGACAAATACAGAAAAAGTTTGGTTTTTTTGTGTAAACAGAACCGACAAAAATATTTTTTAAAGTAAATGAAGTGAATTATAGATAGGTGAATAAAATTAATTTTAAAACTTAAATTGAATTAAACTGTTTAGTTTGCTACACCTTTTTGGAGCTTGCTTCAATTACTTCAAGACGTCGACAAAAGTTTCTCCTCGTACAAAATTATTTTTGGAGCGAAACATAAAGGCCTGTTTATTAAAAATTTGTAGAAAATTGTAGAAGTTTATTGTGATACAAATTATACAGGATAATTTGTAAGCCTAATAGATCAGTTTTCAATATTTATAGCTCTTATTTTATTTTTCCAACACATTATCTTTCGTGTTATCAGAATTACCAATCCCAATCCTTAAAATATATCCAAATATGTAAAATCCGAGGTCTTTCAACAACCATTTCATTGTGCAGAAAAATATTTATGCTGTTAATAAAAATTATTTGAAGCACACCCCGTTTCGAAGGGTATTATAATTTAAGTCAAAAGCAACGCAGTGAAGGAGACATTCCCGAACCCATAAAGTATATACATTCTTGATCAGCATCACTAAAAGAGTCGATCAAGCCTTGTCCGTCCGTCCGTTTCTACGCAAACTAGTCTCTCAGTTTGAAAGCTATCTGCATTAAACGTTCGCAAAAGTTGCCTTTCTATTGCAGGCAGCAGGAACAATCGGAAAAATAAATGAAACAAGTTCGATGTTTTCCTACATGGTGGCCCATTACTGTGATTATTTCAATCTCCTGCTTTGATCGTCTATTGTCTCTGGATGGTTGGCATAGCACCTATCCTTGACAGCACCCCACAAAAAATTTCCAACAGGGTCAAAACGCAGCTGCGAGTCTACATCGCCTTTTCGGCTGATTAGTCCGTTTTCCGTTCTGCTGGAACCATATGTGTCGTAGATGTCTTCATCTTCCATTCGGGAGAAGAAAAAGTTTTCCAACATGCCTCGATAGCACGGTAACGGCGACTTCCGATTCGTTTTTGCAGAAAAACTGGCCAAATTGCCGCCTGACTACCAAAAAAAATGGTCATAGAAACTATACTGTTGTTGCATGGATATCAAACTATTGGGTATAAAAAAATGTCAATATCATATCAGATGAGCATTGAATTAAAATTATGATAGTAAAATTTAAATACCTACTTCAAGAATATAAAAATGGGCAAACATTTCTTTGATTAAACCGTTCAAACTGTGCTGCACTTATGTACTCTCACTTCCAACAATGTCACCATTTGAAATTTAAAAAAATATATATAAACATTTTTTAGTGAAGGAATTGTTTGTTTTTATTACATTTTTTTTAGCCATTTATTTCATTTTAAATATGATTTTAATATTCACCCTTATTTAATATAAAAAAAGTAAAAAAAAAATATATGTTTATTTACTTATGTTTTTCAATATATTTCAACTTAAAAAATTATTTTAATTCTATTTAGATTGCACATAAAATTTTATAAATATTTACTTTAAAATTAAAAATAAACATTTTTTAAAACAATATAAAAATATTAGTGGCAAACAAATTTACTCAAATTTGTATTAGTCAAAAGAATTTGATTAATTAATTGAAAATTAATTAACTTGCATGCGCCTTAAAAACAAATAAAACTATATTCATTTCAGCAGAATAATTTTTTTAGATTAAAAAAAGCTAAAACTGTCAAAATCTGCTTGCAGATCAAGTTGAAAAACAACTGTTTAGGGAAGATCTTGTAGTTTGGGACAGACAACATTGTTTTCCTTCCACAAAAATAAACTAAATTTAATATGTAATTGTTTTTGATGACCGAATTTGTCATAAGCCGAGCCAGATTTTGCCTATGACAGTCGACTTTTGTTCACCATCAAAGATTGTTATTTTCAATTGGGATTATTTCAATATTATTTGTAACTTTTACAAATTCCACAAAAACAAAAACAATTTAAAACCTAAACGAATATTTTTTTCTACAATTATTATTATTATTATTATCCTGACGCGACTTATAGTTGTTTCTTAAGTCACAATCTAGTGATGAAAACAAATTAACGGGCTTCAAACTACTCGTTTCTCCTCTATAAATCAAATATTTTATTGCCCATTAGTAATCTGTATCTGTTTTTATGCCTAAAATGTGTGCAGTTTTAAAGTTACCGCCCCCTGAATTATGGTAGTATATTTATCTAGCACATCTTTGAAAAATTAAATTTAAATGATGGTTTTTATTTTATTTCAAATATATCGATATAGTTGTAATTTATAATGATTAATGCAAAAAGTGGTTCGATCTGATCGTGTTTTAGACTTATCCATGCCGACTTAAAATCATGCCTTTAACTAAGATCATTAAAATCGATGCTGATTAAGAATATATATGTTGATATATATGTCTTTACATAAATTTATCCTATGAGATTAGGATGTACAAAAACAATTCTGATTTTCAAATAGCTAAAGTGCCAACTAGGTTGTGTTAATTCAATAAAAGCAGGCAGTTGCTTACTATATCCCGTATGAAAAAAAAATCGGTCCAAAACGCTAATGAAAAATAAATCTGTGTGCAGTGTTTTAAATGCCAGGCTTTGGTAACCCTTTAATCCTAATATATTTTTATATGTTCTTTTCTGCATTTTATATAATACAAAATATGTTTTCAAAATAAATATTCGTTTGAGCTGACCTTCTTAGTATGTGTGAGGCCATCTTGTGGGCAATGAAAACCAATTTCTTATACATACATACATACGTATTATTGTACACACTTTAAAATAAAAATCTTTATAATGCTAGTTTATTGTACCTAGTGTATCATTTTCCTTTACATGTGCATTTTGTAAAGGTACATATGATAAAAACGAATACAAATTATTAAACTTATATCTTGCTTTCGACTTTCTGCTCTTTACGTTCAACTGTGATTAGTTTTTAAAGCTGTACAGAACTAAGTGTTTTTTATTATCGAAAATATACCATTAACACTTTAACCTTTGTCACTTGCATCTTTCTGACTCGTAATCATGTGTACATAAATGTATATACTTATGTTAACCAATTAATTGTATGTACATACATATATGTATATGTGACAGTGTAATCAAGTCAGCAGCACTGCACTGTTTCTGCTGAACTGATATTGAAGATCATTATTAAAAACACCCCGTTTTTTCTCTTCTTCTTTCTCCCTTGAAAAAACAATTCTTAACACTGAAAAAAAATCAAAACCTTAAAAATTTTGAACTAACTACTTAAATGCACATAATGAAAACCTAAAACTATTTTCTTCGTTTCAAACCCCAAAAAATCGTTTTAAAATTTAAAACAAAATCAACAAATCTTGTAACTTTTTTTGCAATCAACACAAATACACAATAAAAAATTAAACCAAACAAAATTACAAATTTGACATCTGGAACATTATGATCGGCTTGGAACCCCTGACTACCACACAACAATTGGTGATTTTCGGATTATGGTGTTGGAAACGAACAAATTGATGAACCCACTATATTTGACCTGATTTGATCCAGTGATTTGTGCTCAAGGCCTGATAGCGAAGGATAAAAGCGGTACCAGTGATCCATATGTGACGGTACAGGTTAGCAAGGTGAAAAAACGAACGCGAACAATGCCACAGGAACTTAACCCTGTGTGGAACGAGAAGTTTCACTTGTGAGTACTTGTGCCCTAAATTCAACCCTTTATGTTTTCTCCACACAACTATGTATGCATGCATACATAAATTACAACTAAGTTGCACTCTATTCTATTCTCTACTATTCGCGTCTCTCTGTTAGTGAACGATTGCCACAATTCTCTAAATCACAGAGGCAAAACAAAACAAAAAGTGCATAAACAAATAGATGACGGCACTAGTTTTCAAAATGCAATCTACTATTCATCTAATAGATGATAGTTTGGTTATCCAGTGCACTTTGACTCCAAAACGAAACAAATTACACCTAACATTTTTGTGTGGTACCATTTTTGCAGTGTAAAAAAGTATATTGTACTCCCTTGAAAGTAGAAACATATGTAGAAAAGCAGGTAGTAGGAAGTGTTTCCGACCCTACAATGTTTTAATATTCTTGATCAGAATCAAAAGCCGAATCGATGGCTAACCATGACGTCTTTCTGTCCGTCCGTCTGTCAGTCTATCTGTCTGTCTGTCTGTCCGTATGTACGTTTAGATATAAAAGCTAGTTATGCCAACGCATCGAAAGTTTATTTCAAAACGTCAATATCATGTCACACTGAGACATGGTAGATGTTATTTATTGGGCTGTGCATGTGCTTTTCGGACATATCTATCGGCAGACACTAAAGTCCAAATCGAGTTCTAATTTAAAAAGTTACACCATATTGTTCAATACCAGCGGAGATTAGACTTCATGTTAGTGTGCTGACAGCCGTTTTGTACTAATCGTGTCGGGCTCTGCCGCTGCTCTGCATTGGATAGTGCCGTTGCCGGTGTGTTTATAACAACGAAGCTTTGTTGATTTGCCGCTGAATTTTTATATCTTTCCCATATGTTATTGTTGTCAGATTTTTATAAAATTAATTGAGATTGTTAATAAAATGGGTTCGAAAATAGTAAACCATTTACAACAGATCGATGTATATTTGTATAAATTGAAAGACATCTATATTTATTTTTCGGATTTTTCATATTAAGCTATATGATTGGTCCAGTCCGGCCCGTTCCGACTTATATATAAGGGCCCTATGTTTATAAGGGCCTAAAAAGTCTCAAATGTCTTCAGAGTCATTTTCTAAATCAGGGAGTCGAACAACACCGCAAAATCAATATATATGTATATATATTTATATATATATATATTAAAACATTAATAAAAAAAGATTAATTTCACTTGCTTACATATTTTTGCCTTGTGAATAATGAATTTCCCTTATGGCAGCCGTTACGTGGCTATACATTGGGGTTTCTAAAATTCTATTGCTGCAATTAGCGTTTGAGTATAATACATACCTTTAAGGATGTTTGGAAGTGTGTCAGCCTTAAGTTCTATTGCCTTTGATACAAAAAAAATATAATCTATCCGGTAAAGTCCAGGGTCAGAAGCGTTTTTTTTTACCAGGTATCTAGCATCCTGCTAAAAACCAAAAACCGAAACCAACCGGTGCAGTTGGACTCAGTGATTCAAAAAATTACAATCAACAATTTTTTATGGTGCCATTGCTTTATGATATTGTTTTCCGATTTGATAACAATTAAAAGTTAATTAATTCTGGATTACTTAACCATATTAATGTCTAAAAGAATTAAAATAAGAAATGAAACAAACTTCGGAAAATCGAAGCCATTACATGGTACTCTAAAAAATTCATGCATATTATAGTTTGATCGACAATGGTTTAAAATAAGAGGAATATATATAGACCCGCTAGTGGGAGACTGATACAAGACACATAGACCGCCACACTGTCCAATTTATAAAAATAACTGGTGTGAAAGTGAATTAAGTCTCACACAGCACACAACCCAATAAACTATCAAAAACATCCCCGTAAATAAGCTTACGATTAAAAGTGATACCAAGAATTGTTCTACGATTGGATAAAGATGGTAAATTATATACCGTAGAGCTAATAGTAAAAAGTTATTTTGTTCAGACACCGGTCTATATGTACACTATGTTGGGGACTCCCAACTGGTGAGCAATACTCCAGGATTAGACGCAATAATGAAATGAATAAGGTCTTTGTGACATAGGGATCATCGAATTCCTTAGACCAGTTTTTTATAAATCCAAGCACTCCCCTGGCTTTGTTTACTATTGAAGAAGTTTTTGGTGCCACACTTATGACAGTTTTTGGCTTGGTAATGCGGACGTTATGTCAACATGAGGTGTTTGAGCCACAAAATTATTTTGTTCGGACAAAGCGGATGTCACTGGCGGCACAATATCGCTAGGTACCATTGTTGTGGCACCTAAGATTAAATAGTTAGTTAGTTAAAGCCGCCCAGATACTAATGCATGGTCTGTAAATGCAATGCATTTGAGGGCATCGCAAACCATGATAGAGTAGCCAAGACACTTGGCATGAGAAGATTTTTCGCATGAATGACAGAAAATAGAAGGCAGTCCGGTCGAGATAACTTTATTGGAATTTTCCACGGAACAGACCATATTCACGACTAATCGGACCACTGTGCAAATCTTAGGCTCAAGAACTTTGAGAGAGAGAGCGGGAGTGTCATAGCGGGAGCGTAACACCGATTAACTCCGATATTAGCACTACTAAATGAGAGAGACAGAGAGAGCGATAGGTCAAGAGCGTAATAACGTTTAGATTTTGCCGTTCCAAACAACTCCTTAAGGACGTTTAGCTCCTAAGAGAGAATTTCAGATAGGTAGAACAATTTTCACCGTTAGAGCGCTTGCCGTTCAACAGTGTCCAACGACTCAGAGCAACAAAAAAAAAGGGAGGCAACAGAAATACAATAACAACAAACCAAGCACCAAATCAAATGTTCAAGGGTATGGTTAGATCGAATCTCCTAGTGATGCTGATCAAGAATATATGTACCTTACAGGGTCGGATATGTTTCCTTCACTGCGTTGCAAACTTCTAATTGAAATTATAATAAGCTCTGCAAGAGTATAAACAAGTTTAAAAGAAATTGCGTGGGCGGTTTTTGAAAACTTAACTAAAAAGTGTAAAAGATTAATTAAAAGTTTTTGTTTGTTTTTTTTTGTAAAACTAAACTACTATGTTAGATCAGCGTGATTGACAATAAATTTTCAACATCTTGTGTGTAGCTTTACTGGTTTAAAATAAGCCTAATAACCGTCAAGCAGAGGCTCATTTCATTTTGACATGTACAAATAAAAAGTATTTTTCGAATAACTTTTGAACGAAGCATCGGTTTCAAGCAAGTTGAGTATCTTTCGACGCCTATTTTCAAAAAGAATCTTGATATTTCGGTGCAGTTAGACTACCCGATTCAGAAAATGACACAAATTTTTGTATGGTACCTAATTAGTCATAACTTAGATTAATTGTTAAACAATTTGAAAGTATTTCTTAGACTTACCACGGCGCAAGTTAAACCACCACAACGGGTTCGTGTTGCAAGGGTTCTAATTATAGTCTTTACTATCAACTTTACTTAACGACATAATTGTAAAAATTTGAATTGTACCGCCAAAACTGTTTCGCTATTCTCACCACTCATCAAGGAGAAGCGAAAGTGGCGAAAAATCAGTATTAAACTAATCTTCTGGAAATAATGCATTCGAATGCGTTCCTTTTGGGATAAAGTTGCTGGCCTGAAACAGGCAAAATCCGCAATCTGCTATTCCGAGAAAATAGTACCATATTTTCGAAGTGTAAATAACGTTTTTCACCTGTTTTATTTTTATCTCCAGTTCTGCTAATCAAATTTCAGTCATCGATAGCTTATTTTAATAGAAATAGAATATATTTTAAACTCCCTTTTATAGATGCTAAGCCAAATAGCTAATAAAGTCAACCATCCACCGGATTGATCTTTGGAGTATTTAGTCGATTAAAATTTGTAAACCAATGTTTTTAAACGTTTCCAATACCAATTGCCAGATAAAAAAACATGCACAACTTATAAAGTTATTATCCTATATATTGCTTTATACGCTCATAACTAAATTATTGTCTATTGGGTATATGTATGTAGCGAGTGCCATAACTCCTCAGACCGTATAAAAGTACGGGTTTGGGACGAAGACAACGATCTTAAGTCAAAACTGCGGCAGAAATTAACCCGAGAGTCGGACGACTTCTTGGGTCAAACAATTATAGAGGTTCGTACGCTTTCCGGAGAAATGGATGTTTGGTACAACTTGGAGAAGCGCACAGACAAATCGGCCGTATCAGGTGCGATACGGCTTCACATATCCGTTGAAATAAAGGGCGAGGAGAAGGTAGCTCCTTATCATGTTCAATATACCTGCCTGCACGAGAATCTGTTTCATTATCTTTGTGAAGAAAACATCGGAATGGTAAGCACTTTATAATTATTTACCTTAAGATTGACCTACCTCATTTAAATAATGCAACTTTTGAAACAATGTTAAAGGTTAAATTGCCAACCCAGAAAGGCGACGATGCTTGGAAACTGTATTTTGACGAAATTCCCGAGGAGATTGTCGATGAGTTTTCTATGCGGTATGGAATTGAGAACATCTATCAAGCTATGACGCACTTTCATTGCTTATCTGCCAAATACCTTTGCCCCGGAGTACCAGCCGTAATGAGCACACTGTTGGCAAATATAAATGCATATTATGCTCATACAACAGCTTCTTCAGCTGTGTCGGCCAGTGATCGATTTGCGGCCAGCAATTTTGGGGTATTTAGTCTACTTACTTAATTGACAATGATAATATTTTACAAATCCTGCTAAATTATTTATTAGAAAGAAAAATTTGTAAAGCTGCTGGACCAGTTGCACAACTCACTTAGAATTGATTTGTCAATGTATAGAAACAACTTCCCTGCGTCGAGCCCGGAAAAGTTAATGGACCTAAAGTCGACAGTCGATTTATTGACGAGCATAACCTTTTTCCGTATGAAGGTAATTGAACTGTAAATTTAGTTTGAATCAATATATTAAGTATATATCCACACAGGTCCAAGAGCTATCTAGTCCTCCGAGGGCGAGCACAGTGGTTAAGGACTGTGTTAAAGCTTGCCTGAGATCGACTTATCAGTTCTTGTTCGAGAACTGCTATGAACTCTACAACAGAGAATTTCAGGTAAACGGCTTAACCTATAGAATAACTATTGTTTATAATTATTCGTTTTATATGAGGTGAAAAAAGGGTTGGCATAGATAGATCAAATGTTTTACTTGACAAATATTTTTGGCCACGTCAAAGGAGTCATTTCCTAGTCGCAGTATATTATTGCTGGATCTCTGGCATGTAAAAACGCCTTGCTCTTTTTTGGAAACTGTGGTGCTCTCCTTTGCAAACCCGTCAAACAACACCATCAGCTTCCCTTTCTTGTCGCCAGAGTTGGCAAATGCATCGGTCGCATTATGGATGTCCTGTTGGGCATTAAAGATATCCGTTAACTCGCTCATATTCATGATTTTTAATTCATTTCGTTTTGATTTACGACAATTCAAAAGTACACAAACCTAAGTTAGCTAAACGGCAATGGAAAGTTCACTAATGCGGCAATGGAATCAGGCTATAAGAGCCTATAATAATAGCCTGATTCCATTGCCGCATTAAAACGCATTTAGCCAATTGCGCATTTATTTACACAGGGAATCCCATATGGCTAAATGCCGCATTTAAATTAAATGCGATTTTTAAATGCGATTAAAAACCATTCGCCCCGAACGTTTTTAGAAAAAATACCGGAAAATACGGATGTTTAACGATATTTTGTTCGTGCCACCACTAAAACAGCTGTTTTCTATAAGCAAGGTTGGCGCAATTTTTGATATCTTTTGAATATAAAATCTATTTTGTATAAAAATGACTGAAACCTAGAGCGCACGCTGCAAATTCTGCTCGCAGTACCACAATGAATTACTGCTGGATCTATGGCATAGAATAACTCCCACATATACAGGGATCCTTGCCCTTTTTAGAAACTGTGGTGGTCTCCATTGCGAACCCGTCATAACAACGCAATCAGCTTCTCTTCCTTGTCGTCCAAGTTGGCAAATGGCTCGGTCGCAGTATGGATGTCCTGCTGAGCATTACAGAGTTTAGTAAACTCACTCATGTTCATTCATTATACCCTTGCAGAGGGTATTATAATTTCAGTCAGAAGTTTGCAACGCAGTGAAGGAGACGTTTCCGACCCTATAAAGTGTTTGTACTGTTTTTTAATTTTTTGTTTAGTTCTTCGACATATAGCAATGGTTAAATAATTCAGAATTATGGTTTAAATTTAATCAAAATCGGACGACTATAGCATATAGCTCCCATAGGAACAATCGGAAAAATAATTGAAAAAAAATTATAACTTTGCTGTTTTTTAATTTTTTGTTTTGTTCTTCGACATAAAGCAATGGTTAAATATTTCAGAATTATGGTTAAAATTTCATCAAAATCGGACGACTATAGCATATAGCTCCCATAGGAACAATCGGAAAAATAATTGAAAAAAAATTATAACTTTGCTGTTTTTTAATTTTTTGTTTAGTTCTTCGACATATAGTAATGGTTAGATATTTCAGAATTATGGTTAAAATTTCATCAAAATCGGACGACTATAGCATATAGCTCCCATAGGAACAATCGGAAAAATAATTGAAAAAAATTATAACTTTGCTGTTTTTTAATTTTTTTTTTAGTTCTTCGACATATAGCAATGGTTAAATATTTCAGAATTATGGTTTAAGTTTCATCAAAATCGGATGACTATATCATATAGCTCCCATACAAATAATAAAAATATATAAAAGAACAATCAAATAATTAAGCTGCAAATCGTCATAGCTTCAATGTTTTTAAACATATACGCAAGTAAATCATAATTTTAATGTTTTCAAAAATATTTAATTCTTGCGATAGCTGCAAGGGTATATGAACTTCGGCTTGCCGAAGTTTGCTTTCTTTCTTGTTTTAATTAATTTCTTTTGGATTTGCCAATTAAAGGCGATTATTTCAAAAGTAAACAAGCCCAGATCAGCTGTTCGTGCCACTCACATGTCGGAGTAGCATTAACTAAATGCTAATGCACCAATGGAATCAGGCACATTTAAAAAGTCCACTAATGCGGCAATGGAATCAGGCTATAAGGCGTTTTAAATAAATGCGACTACAAACCATTCGCTCCGGAGGTTTTAGAAAAAATTCTGAAAAAAGTATAGTTATCGATAATGCCATAGTGCCACCACTAAAACAGCTGGTTTTGCTATGAAAGAATGGCGCAATTTTTGATTTCTTTTGAATATAAAACTTTTATGAACTGTTGTTTTTTTTTCTTGCGTATTGAACGCAATCTCTATGCGAAATACACATAAGTACTTTGAACGTAGGCAGAAAATTAAATAGGCTTTAAAATTAATCGATAGTTTAATATTCAATTGAATACTTTTGTATTCTTGTTCCCTTTTTATTTGGGCCATTTTTTTAAAAACATATTTTGTAAAAAATATTTTCGTTCTAAAGTTTAAAGTTTCTGGTTTATAAAAATAATTTGCAATGGCAATTAACGTTTATTTTCTAAATAGCTTGAAAAAAATGCTGTATTCTTTGAAAAGTAACTCTATTCTTGAACACACAGGTGGATCCCAACGAAGCAAAACGTGCGCCGGATGATCATGAACCCAAACTGGATAGCGTAGACTTCTGGCACAAGCTTATAGCTTTGATCGTGTCAGTGATAGATGAAGATAAAAACAGCTATGGCACAGTCTTAAACCAATTTCCTCAGGAACTAAATATTGGCCAGGTAAAGTTGCCACTTGAGTGTAATATATTTGTAAAACTTGTTTAATTAAATACATGTGTGCAGCTATCAGCATCCTCAATGTGGCATCTTTTTGCTGTGGACATGAAGTATGCACTTGAAGAGCACGAGCAGCATCGTCTCTGCAAGTCATCGGCTTATATGAATCTTCACTTTCGAGTTAAATGGCTATATAGTAACTACGTCAAAGAGGTGCCTCCCTACAAAGGAGCAGTTCCCGATTATCCTGCATGGTTTGAGCCTTTTGTGATGCAATGGCTAAATGAGAATGACGACGTATCACTGGAATATCTTCACGGCGCATTTAAGCGAGACAAAAAAGACGGGGTAAGAATTATTAGGAAACAAGAGACTTCTTCGAGTTAAAACAATGTAAACTTGTGCAGGTCTCTAGTGGTTATTTTAAACAACCATTTTAACCAATTTTAAATGCCTTTACTATTTTCCTTGCGTTGTAGTTTCAAAAGAGCAGCGAACACGCGCTTTTTTCAAATTCGGTTGTCGACGTTTTTACGCAATTGACGCAATGTTTCGATGTTGTTAGCAAACTCGAGTGTCCTGATCCAGAAATTTGGAAACGTTACATGAGGCGTTTTGCTAAAACAATCGTAAAAGTGTTAATAGCTTATGCGGATATTGTAAAAGTAGAATTTCCAGATCACATGAAGGATGAAAGAATTGTGAGTAGACAAATGTGCCAAGTGCTTTTATAATAACACTAGCATTTTTTTTAACGCACCAATTTCTTCCACTTTTGTGCCATTAGGCTTGCATACTTATGAACAACATTCAACAACTGAGAGTGCAGTTGGAAAGAATGTTTGAGTCTATGGGAGGGGATAAGCTAGAGGAGGACGCAGCCAACATTTTGAAGGAACTTCAGCAGAATTTAAATTCAGCACTGGACGATTTGGCATCACAATTCGCCATCAGGTGGGCTTAAATCAACCTTTTGAATGAATAAATAATTAAATACCTGATTACCTTTAGCTTGGAGCCGCGAATAACTCAGTCTGTGAGAGAACTTGGTGATATGCTACTTTCTATCAAAGGAGGTAGTGGGACTCTGGCAGCTGGGAACCTAGCCGCTCAAAGGAACACGGTTGCCGTCGAGGCCGATGAAGTTTTGAGGCCGCTAATGGATTTGCTCGACGGCTCTTTAACTCTATATGCCCAATCGTGTGAAAAGACCGTACTAAAGAGGTTACTGAAGGAGCTATGGAAAATTGTGATGCGAATATTAGAAAAAACTATTGTTCTACCACCAATGACTGATAAAACCGTTCGTATACCGATTTTTAATGATGATGATAATATAATGACATTTAATTGTACTCTTTTAAATAGATGATGTTTAAGCACCTTACTGACAATGCAAAAAACTTAGCATCCAATGCAAAAATTGAAGACATGGGACGACTGTTTAAGTCACATATGGCAGGGAAGCAGGATGTTAAAAGTGCGCTTAGCGGTGTAATGGACATATCGAAGGAAGTCGAAAAGAACTTGTCACCCAAACAGTGTGCCGTGCTTGACGTTGCCTTAGATACAATAAAACAATATTTCCACGCCGGTGGCAATGGACTGAAAAAGACGTTTCTGGAAAAATCGTCCGAACTGCAAAGTTTACGTTACGCACTCAGTTTATATACGCAAATGACAGACACACTAATCAAAACATTTATATCTAGTCAAGTTCATGAGGGTAAGTACAATTTTATGTGCTCAAACTGTTGGACTTTATTGAACGCGTGGTTGTTAATCATTTTAAAACACCAGACGGGTGAAAATCCGCATATGCGCTGGATGTTTCTGTCAGGTTACTAGCTCAACTATACTTAAAGCTCTCGCAATCGTTTTCTATCATGCGTGAATAGATCAGGAGAGAAAGCCCAGAGCATCGGACTATTTTATATAATTTTTTGGAAGATACATTTTAAACTGTTTTTTTATTTAATTGGATTTTTTATAAACATTTAAATTCATTATGGACCAAAGACAAAAAGCCGAAGTAGCTATGGCTGCTATTTCCCGCTATGGCTTTGGTTTGTATTTTTAAGCTTACAGTTTGTAAATTAATATAATCCAATATAAGAACTAAAGAAGAAAAATTCTCTGTTCGCTTTTGTTAATTTATCCAAGTTGCACCAAAAAACTCTAGAAACTTTTATAAAATCTGAGCAAAGTTGCCGTTTTTGTTGCTTAATAACTTTCGAAGACATTAATTCAGGTAAAACTTTTTAATGACATATTAATTGTCGTTAATTTAGCTATTTTTACCGATTTCTCGTTAAATAAGCTAGTTTTTCGAGGTAATCACGAAGTTTTTGTTTTATATTTTTTTGAGCACTATTAGCTTGTTAATAAAAAATAGAAAAAAAAAACGTTGTGATTATCTGCTGAATAATGTGAAGAATTTGCAAAAGGATCGGTTTAGTAGATTTTGAGTTCTGATGCTCTTCAACTTCAAAAAATACGTTTTAGGGAAAATTGATTTTTAGTTTAGTAGCACGGTCGGTCGTTTGAAACGCTGTTACTCTGTTAGTTTTTAATCGGATTGACTTTAAACTTGTACAGAACATTCTAAACTTATTGTTGATTTAGAAAAAAAAAAAAGTTTAAACCCCCCTCAATGTTTGTGCTTCTTACTTTATTCCTTTTTTCTTGATGCAGTTGATCCTGAAAACGCCGAGGAAAGTGTCGGCGAGATTTCCGTGCAAATAGACTTGTTCTCTCATCCAGGCACCGGTGAACACAAAGTAAACGTAAAAGGTAAGTCACAATAAGTATTCGTAACATACATTTATAACGCGTTTTATGTAACGCTTTTTTTCCACCTTCAGTTGTTGCTGCTAATGATCTTAAATGGCAAATACCGTCCGGTATGTTTAGACCATTTGTTGACATCAATTTAATCGGACCACACCTACAAGAAAAGAAAAGGAAATTCGCTACTAAGTCAAAGTCAAACAATTGGTCACCCAAATACAACGAGTCTTTCAGCTTGTAAGTCCTTGTTAAACATAAAAACTTGAATCGGATGATATTTTCAAAATGTGTCTTATTAGCACTATTGGAAATGAGGAGCAGCTAGACTTTTTTGAGTTGCACATTTGCGTTAAGGACTATTGTTTTGCCCGTGATGATCGACTCGTAGGCGTAGCTGTAATCCCACTAAAAGATATCTCAGAAAAGGTTCGGAATGCTCTTAAAAGTAAAATATATTACAAACATATAATTTATGTTATAACTGACAGGGTTCTGTCGCATGCTGGTTACCCTTAATGAGACGTATTGAAATGGACGAAACGGGCTGGACCATTTTAAGGATTTTATCACAACGTAACAATGATGAAGTAGCCAAGGAATTTGTCAAGCTGAAATCGGAAATACGACAGGAGCCAACGATGGGCACATAAATCTACAAATTCACCTATTACATAATATTACTTTGACAAAATAGCTTTTTATGTTTTCCGGTGTTCTGTATTACCAGTATTCCCATATAGCAAAATCATACAAAAAATATGCAATATAAATATAAATATATATCTAAACACTATGTATGTTCATTGACGTAAACATGTATATCATAACTCCACCACGTTCACAGAAATGACTTACATCAAGCCTCGAAATTTATATTGTCATATCCAATATTGAAAAGAGCACTTAGAAAGATAACCAAATAATTACACAATTTCTAACTTCTGTCTATACACAATTATGTTTAACTGATCAGCTGTAATACATCCGCATACATTCGTGCATTTGTACATAATGCAGGCAAGACGCTTATATAATTTTTTATATTTATTTACTAAATCCATATTCATCTGTAAATTTAAAAATCACTACATGCACATTCCTATTTCTGTAAATAAGTACCTGTATAAATATTAATTGGTAATTCTCAAACATATTTGTTAAAGATACTTCACATAAGTACACAATAAGTCCATGTGAATCCTTATTTTTTTCTATTGCAATAAAAGATATATAAAATTACAAATCAATCAACAAAATAAATATACATTTTTCAAAGAAATATTGATTTTGAACTTTAAGATGTCCCCCAAGAGAACGTAAAGACATTACTCATTCCGTCAAGATCTGGGAAAATATAAAAGCTAGTCCAGCCAGGTAAATTGTGCCAATTTCAAAAATGTGCACCACCCCCATATTTTAGGTGCTTTTTTTGGGTTTTTGTAGATTTGAGAAATACAAAAATTCCTAAAGCGTCCTTTTGTTGTAACTTGGCCAAAATTATAGGTAGAGACATAAGAGTGGCTGTTTTTGACAACTAGCAATCTATACTACCCATCTAAAATCGGTTTTGAGCCTTTTATTTGGTTAAGGTCACAGACCAGTTTTTTCGCAGTATACATATATTTCTGTAATTCGAAAAATTAATCTCTAAAATTATTCAAATTTAGCGCGGTCCCGATTTAGGTTTATTGTACCGTGTATCGTACAGCTACAACATCAATGAATAAACCATAAGAAAAATGTTTAACTTGCGAGTGTCAAATGTTTATTTAGTTTGCGTATGTATCCATTTTTTGGGAGGAAAATTGAATTTTGTGTTCTCTTCTTCATTTTAAGTCTGTTTATTTTTAGTAGGCCGATAAGCAGTTTTTGCCTTTGTGAATTGTCGTTCCAAAATCTTCCCAGTTAGTCTGCCGTTAAAATTTGTCGGACTTTGACGGACTAATTTATGCAATAGTTAGCCGATGTTTCTGCGGTGCAACCCTCTTTCCACGCAGTCCATCCCTGAAAAACCGTTGGGATTTTTAAAAAGAGTGAAACTCCGGTTTCCACAGAGCACATCCACCTTCCGATTTCAGCTGATCTTAACAGCTGCATCTCATCAAAACATAAACAAAGATGGTTGACCTGTTGACTTTGTTTACGTTTTGACGAGCCACAGCTGTTCAAATCAGCTGAAATCGAAAGGTGGAAGGTGGATGTGCTCTGTGGATCGGAGTTTCACTTGTATGTTGTAAATTCCAACCGTTTCCAACGGATGGACTGTGTGGAAAGAGGGCATTAGTTTATTTATGTTGTGGAAGCCATATTGATGTCAAATTCCCGTTTCCCACACGGTCCATCCGTGCAAAAAAGGATGGCAAATGTGAACCACTACCAATAGCAGCTGTGGCTCATCACAATACAAGCAAAGATTATTAGAGTTAATTCTGTGAGACTAAATATAATAGTTTACCAACTATTTTGCCTGTTGCATTTTATTGGCAGTTAAATCCGATAACAAATAATTTTGATCGAAAAATTCGGAACATTGATTTTAACCAACGTCGAAGTTTCCCAAAACCGAAATCGCAAGGAATAATAGTCAAGTTACACTTACGCACATCTGCTATCGATATCGGAATAGACGCAATGAAACACAATAGCCAGTTACACTTCACAGACGTGCTTCATTGCGTATTTTTGTTTTCGGTCGTTAGCGGTGGTACAAACCGAAACTTCTGCAATGCAGCAACCCAAGTGTAGTTAGGCCCCTAGGAAACATTTTTAGAAGAGCAAAAATGTGGCCTGCTGAAATTATCAAATAGCTGTTTCCCTAAACAGTTGTTACACATACTTTTTGAAAATTGCCCTAGCCTTGTTTATCTTAGCTATTGATTGAATTCGAGGAAAATGCCCAATAAAAGTAGAAGGACGGGCTATTTTATATAATAACAAGCTACTGTCTAAACGTCTTTATTTGCATATATTCGATGATTTCTTGGCACCAATGCTGCCTTCCTTATTTTAGTAGAAATGAGCGACTTAACTGAATTTTCAGCAATTCAACAAAATTTTCAGCAGCCTTTTGTTTGCTGAAATGCTGAAATTTCCAAAAGCTCAGTTTGTATGGAACAGCTGACAAACAGCTGACTGATTTTCAGTCATTTTGGGATTAAGATGTTTCGGAAATACCCAAATTGATTATATTAAAGGTTAGGGAGGTATTGACTTCATTCGACCTGTGGGACAATTAGCTTGAAGACCTACAAGGAGCGCGGAAAAACTGTTATATATATGGGGAAGGAGAGCAGGAATAAAAGGATAAGGGAGTGACCACCAACATATCAAACATCAGTTAATAACCCATTAGCTGAGACATTCACTTGGGAATTAAAAAATTGTATGTAGTTTTACGTTGATATCCATTACAATGGCGGAAAAATGCAATTTTGTGTTCTCTTCTTCTTATTTTTAATTTTGCTTATGTCCCAGAGTTGTTTTTGCATCAGCGGCTGCCAGTGTGAATGGGTCGCTTTAACTTTTTGTGTGCAAACGCTATTAAAGGAATTCCCTTAATGTTAAGTAAATAGTAAGCTGACTTTTCGAAAGTTGGGCACACTAGTCGGACATTTATATTGGCATTGGTATTTTACTATAATATCTCGGTGGTACGTGTAAGTATAACATTTTACAAATTAAAACAAGAAGTTTTGTTTCTTTTTCTGTTGAACTGGTTGACCAAAGCGCATAAAAAATGGCTAAAATAAATTAGACCGAACATTAGTACTAACGCCGTTAACAGCCCCCGAATGTTTTCCTACGTTTACTCATACACGCATTAGAATACACGAACAGACTTACATCCATATGTGCGTATGTAGATATATGAGCTGCACTTTGAATATTTATTTTTTTGGTCAGCAAATTTACAAATTTCAAAGCATAAAAATATTCGAATTAGAATATTCGCCTACTCAGCAGTGTGTATGTTTAAAATTATAAATGCGTATGCATGAGTAAATTGCGTTTGTATGTGATATTACAGTTTGATTTTCTAGGTTAGGTTGCTTAGCTGTCTTACATTTTAGTTCCTTTATTTTTACTGCGTTCGGTAATAATTTGTAGCGTCCTCTTGTTGGTAACAGCCCATTTACGGGAATTCTAAATTTAATTTAACCCCCTAGACCGATAGCGTAAAATTATGCGCGTTAAGTTTTATTTTGTTTAGCTTACAGAATTAATCGTAAAAATTATACGGAGCGGAGCGTTTTTGCAATTATAATTTAATTAGAAAAAAAAACCGTTTACGTTTGTTTGCTTGGCGTTGTTGTGATATGCAAGTCAAGCTGTTTAAAATAATACATTCTTTCTGTGAACCTAGCGTCATCATTAATATATCGAACCAGAGGCTACTGAAAATGACAGATTCAATGAAATTTGGTCCGGAATGGTTGCGCAACATGTCAGCTGAGCCCGCAGGCTCTCCCAGTGCTTACAACATCGGTACCGGAGGACCAAACAGCTCAATTGCAGCGCACAACCTCGGCAACAACACAGCATCTGCCTCGCGTAATCTGTTTCCAGAATACCGGTATGGACGTGAGGAAATGCTGTCGTTGTTTGACCGGAACTGTTTGCTACCGCAGATCCTACCTTCGTTTAAGAAACTTTTCGTGGAGAAGGTTCAGTACCCACTTGCCCTTACACCAAGCTCCGAGGAGGAAAACAACCAAAACCCTCTTGGAAATAGCGTAAGTAGCTGGATTTGGCTTACTGATGGGGAACTGATGTTTCTCTACTTTGCAACAGTCGCGTCCTGCCTGGTTGCAGCGCTCATCCGGTGGATTTAGTACTGCTTCCCGGGGCACAGGACGTGGTGGGACAGTCGAACGAGGCCGAATGCGCGGTAAATCCGTCTATCACCCTATATATCAACGTCCAAGTGGTCTCTACGATGAGGGCTTATCAGTTATATCTATCAAGGCAAGCGGAAAGGTTCAAGGGAAAATTGGTGTGTTGCTAGCTAATAACTTTCTTCACCCAGGCCGAACGTACTTGGAATGACCGGAACGGAACTGGGGATTCAGCAATTGCTAACACTTCTACTACTGGTGCAGGTGCCTTGGATTGGAACGGCACTCCAAGTTCAAGTCCTCGGAAAGACTTTTCGAGTCATCACCGCAACATGGAGAATTGGAGACGAACCAGGAACGAAGACGGATCTGGAGATGGTCCAGTTGCCAGCGGCCCAGACATTGCTGGTTGGCGAAGTGGCGGCGGCGGAGGAAATACCACTGGTTTCGGTACAAACAGTCATCGCTGGGGTTAGTTATTACAACACTTTATTATTATTTTAGTACACAACAAAACAAACAATGCAATGCAAGAGATATCCCCGGCCATAGGTTAGATTAGGTATCAGGTATCAAATTTGGCATACAATTTATCAAAGGGATTCCTTAAATCAGAAGTTAAAATGAGAAACTTACTTAAAGAGCCGACCCAGAACAGAAGATACATACTAACAGTCGCAAAGTGATCAAATTGGTTTACCAAAAAAATTTAAATATAGTAAAAAAAGGTATAACCTTAAACTTAGAGCTAAAATGTTACGATTTTAATGTTATTCAAATCTGACAACAATGTGTAGATGCCACAGGAATATACAAATTATAAAGTATATTAGTGATCTAGAATCAGCAGACTCGATCTAGCCATGTCCGTCTGTCCGTCCTTCACTCTGTTTCTCTCAAACTAGTCTCCCAGTTTTAAAGCTGTCTAGACGAAAATTTTCTAAAATTCAGCTTTCTATTGCTGGAAGTACATAAGCCGGAATGGGCGGATCGGACGACTTTATCATACAGTTCCTACAGCAAAGAAAGCAAACTTCGGCAAGCCGAAGTTTATATATCCTTTCTGCTGTTACCAAAATTTTTTAAATATCTAAATTTCGATTTATAAAAACATTGAAGCTAAGACGATTATTTGCTCAATTTTTCAATCGTTCCTACGGCAGCTATATGAACATAGCTAGATCGACTCTCCTAGTGATGTTGAGGATATATAGTTTACAGGTCGGAAAGTCTCCTTCACTGCGTTGCAAACTTCTCACAGAATTTATAATGTCCTCTGCAAGGGTATACTAATTTAATCTTCGGAATTTTTCAATTTATACGAATATTCTTCGAGATAAAATAATGTTTCACTGTTTCAGAACTGCGGTTTAGGTGAGGTTAGGTTAGATATGATCTGACACAATTAGACCTACTGCGTAAATCCTATTATCCTATGTTCTATTGCAACTCAGGTAGCAGCGCCTATCTCTTATGTACTTTAATATTTTAGGCTTATATTTGCTAGTTGGGAAGGGAAAACTGTCTAATTGGACAGGTCATCCATGCAGCTTTTGTCGAAATCATTTTGGGGTGCGCCTAGTCTGCTTGCCTGCGTGCAACAGTGTCCTGTTAGGACACGCATTATCGTCCCGCACTCGGTACGGCTAAGCCTTAGTAGTTCAGACGTGGTTTTCTCCTTTGTGGTGGGTAATTTTTATCGTATAAGTTGCCAGGTAGTTTGTCAGGGTGGCCAGTCTTTTGTGTTGATTATTTATGTTTAGTTTGCAGGCGTGCATGTAATGTCCCGGTTTCTGGGGACCACTTTAGGTTGATACTGAACTGCATAGCCACCTCATGCGACAGATTTTATGTTGCTTAAGAGTTGGTGCTGGTCGCGTAGATCGACCTTATGACCGCTCGACTATCACTGTAAATGTTCCCTTATCGGATATACTTTCGCCTGGAAGACGCTACTGTGATTGCTTCTGTTGGTTTCGACAGCACCTCCTCCCAGTCCACTCTACTTGGGTAGAGGGCTTCAAAGGGGGTGTGGTTGTGTCAAGCAGGATTGCTCAGATCCATTCTAATTGGGACTAATTTATCTTGGTGGAGTATCGTTTGGGGTGCCATTCGCCGAACTTTGCTTAGGTGTGCAGTGGTTCTCTGCAGTAGATACAGTTTTGGCTTTTCTTTTTGCCTTCTTATAGGAGGCTCGTTGCAGTTTATGCTGTTTCCATTTCGTGTATTAATTTCCAGCCATTGCCATGAAAGTTGTTGACTGCATTGAGGAGCTTTTGTTTCCCCTTTTGTTTATTTTTAAGGCATCCTGTCCAAAGTAAGTTCTAAGCTCCGTTTTGCTTCCTCTGAGGTCGTCGTCGACTTCGTCCTCCGGTTTTATCGCCTGCATCCATCTGCTTAGTGAGTCCGTAGAGTAGAGCTCGAAAATCATCGAATTTGGCTAGCATCGATGTTTCCGATGCTTTGACAAAAAACATCGATCTACTTTGGTTCATTTCGGTGGATCACACATAAAAACTTAATATACGAAATCGCTAAGAAAAATAATTTTGTTTGAGATCAGAGAACGTCTGCGGTCAGACTCCAGATGTCCTGCTTTGTTTAACTTTCGTTCTGAATCGCTAGTTGTTGCAGGCACACACACGTATTTCATCGTGAGTATCG